ACCTCCCAGAACATTGTTTTGTGCCACGCCCAACAGAAATAACCCAGGTGGGCGACTTTAAAATCAGGATCTCCTCAGTTGCTAATAGCAATTCCCACCTTGGAGTTTACAAAGACTTATGGGTAGAAAAGCCACACTAAGTAATTTACTACACCGCAATTGCCCAGTCTTCCTTCCACAGAGTGGCTGGTGGATTTGAACCACCAACCTTCTGGATAGCAGTCAAACACCTTAGGCATTATGCCACCAGAGCTTAGGTTTCATCAAGTCTGACTAAATGACCTTTCTTGAATGGATTATCCAAGATATCTACTCGATAAGAGAAACAATGCCAACTTTTCACACATGAAACAAAAAATCTACAATTTAAAAAAATATATATTTTTTGACTCTTTTATTTTTTTACTCAATTTTCATCTCTCTTCTTGTCTTTTTCCTCCCAAGTCAACATAAAACCTTTCCTGAGCCTCTGTGGGCATGGCTTAGCCACTCACACTGGTGGCTTCTAGGAGATTGATCATAATCTATTCTGCAATAACTCTGTGCCCTGGGCAGGATATTAACCTTGCAGGGCATCACTTTCCATATCTGTATAACAGATGTCTAAGAGTGGCAAAGTAGATTATCTTTCAATTCTCTTCCAAATCTAAAAATCTACAAATAAGTAATGGGTAACTATTATCAGTCTATTCAAGTCAAAGGCTGAACTAAACTCTACAAGAAAATATTTCTTTAATTAAATTTATATTCAAAGAAAACATTTTAACCACATTTGGAATATATAAAAATGGGCAGTCTATGACTTAAAACATATTTGAGTTATGATCAACTCCACTTTTTTCTTTGTACATCTGATCTTTAGTATTATGCACTATGTACAATGTTAAAATATAGCTATAAATTTATATGTAATGTTTCCAACCCCTAAAGACAAAGACCAAATTTATAAAGACACTGATAATAAAAGACAATATAATGAAAATGGGGGGAAAAATTAAGGTATTTGAGTTACCTGTGACTGCTAACCACAAGGGTGGTGGTTCAAACTCACCAGCCACTCTGCGGGAGGAAGACTGGGCAATCTACTTCTGTAAAGATTTACCACCTCAGAAACCCAAAAGGGGTCACTATGAGTTGGAATCAACTTGATGGCAGTGAGCTTGGTTTCTGGGTTTTGGGTTTTTGGTGTGGCACTCTAAAAACTAATTTTTTCCTGGTTTTAGTTCCAAAGAACACAAGAGCCCTCAAAAGCTTTGATTCAACTCCCTTATCATGATGGAATGAGCTCTTACTAAATCAAAGCCTTCTCTAAGGACTATCTAATGGTTTCTATTTACAAGTTCAGGAACAGTCATTTCTAATCACTATAACTTATCAAACCAGTGCTTATAATTCATATTCCAGTCTGACAGTAAACTGACAGATGAGAAGAATCATTCATTCAGCATCAGAGAAGACGACTAAGTAGAGAGTCAATTACACACATCAGAGAAGATGACTAAGTAGAGAGTCAATTACACATCACACTGCTGTCTTTAGCGTTTTGTGCCTCCTAACCTCTCCCTATCAAATGTGTGTTTCTGTAGAGGAACATAGGTCTGATTTAAAATAATGTTGTAGGTTAACAAGTTACACGGAAAGATGTTTATAATATGTATTTTTGGCAAAAAAGGTGGATTGTAAAACAGTATGATCAGTAATACTGACCCCATTTTGGCTAAAAAAAAGAAATATATATATATTCATATATATATGTATCCAGTTAGATATATTCCAAGCTATTAATAAGTTTATAATTTTTCTTAAAAAAGTTTTTTGCCTATCAATATTTTACTTTTCTACAATGAACACTTAGAGCTTCTGAGATGATAATTCAGTTGTTTTATTTAGCAAGAAAAACAGATTTGGCACTCAAACCATTACCAAATGTCTCCCTGAAATAGACCTCAGCAGCTAGCAGCTCACAACAGAGGCATCCACATCCTTTGCACACTGTGTCTGGAGCTAAACTGAGAGGGGGGTGCCAGCTATGTTTGGGTATTAGCCATCAGAGACCACCAAAATGGCTCTAGATCTCTCCTTCCTGGTCTCCTCAGCTCCCTGAGCCATCTGTTTCCCACTTGCCTGCTTGATCAATTTGTAATTCTCTGACAGTTTACAAAACATGACCAAAGAGTCTAAATTACACTTCAGGATTTTAACATTCATATTCGCTGATTTAGGAGAATCAATGATAGAAGAGTCCAAATTACTCTGGCAAAGGTCCACTTCTAAAAGCTGGAATTAATGACTACCCTTGTTTACAGCTGCCCTATGCCAATTCTTTCTGATTACAAGGGAAAAAAGTTTAAAAGCATCACCTTCAGATATTCAGTTTAGCACTTCTGTTTTTAACACTAAGTGCTAACTCTTCGTAGACTCTTTGGCATATTGAAGGCAGATGCTGTTGAGCCTCCTGAGATATGATGAGCCCATGTCCAAGTTCATCACCAAGGGCAGGTGTTACATCATAAGGACTAAAGGTTGTTCTGGCAGCTTAGCGCTCTACTGACAAAACGGTCCCTGAGAAGCTATGCGGTTTCCCAGCTAACAAAAGAAAAAATGTGGACAAACAAGTGATAGCAAGACATATTCTAAAGGCAGTGAAAGAAAGTAGAGGCAGAAAAATGGCAGTCTTAGTTAAGTTCTACAGAACTCCTCCTACTGAGTGAACCAACAGAAGGTGACCAGACGCAGTGCTCAGAGGCATACAAGCTGTGTTTCAATGCTACTCACACGCATGACCAAAAATGTGATGACAGGGAAAAAAAAAAAAAAGATACAACCTCTCACTGGCAAAAACTATACACTTAAAAATAATTTGCTTCCTTACCCTCTCCTAGCCTTATCTTTGAAAAAACATCCACAATACTTTGTAAAAGCAGAAAGATCAGATTTTTCTGCTTTTACAAAGTATTTTTAGAGACCGATTACAGCAAAGAAGAATTGTGTCTACACAGCATTATTTTAATGCAAGAAAACAAAACTGCGAACTATAAGGATGTGAAAAATGTGACCATTTCAGGCTTATTCTTGGGCTGAACCACTCCCCTTCCCTAATTATCCCTCAAAGGAAATATATCAGGCACTGTGGGCAAAGAGAGAAAACATGTCTTAATTACAACATGAGTACTTGGTGGATGGAAGGATTTGAACATTCTTGAACTCTGGCCACAGTTCAGGAGATTTTTTTTTACCAGCAGTTTAATCTCACTGAAGAGGAAAGGTTAAAGAGCATTTGCACTTCTACCCAGGGCTCAATTAAAAAAGACACAAAGAGAACCAAACACATTACTTAACACTGTGATACTACCACGGGAAGCCTGCAGAAAATTTAAGATGACCTAGACTCCTTATTAAGTGTTAACAGAGGAAGTGGTTTTTATTTGAAAATTAGGACCTAAAAATAAGACCCTTTTAAAAGGTACTCTTCACTGGAGAATACACATCTTAACATTTAAAGAAACACATGCAAAACCTTCAGGCCCTAAGGGGTCTTAGAGAAGCAACCCCTGATCAAGGCCTCTCACCTATATCCTTAGCATAACCAGAGGCAACAGATTTGGTAGTGCTTCTGCACATTACTGATTAAAGTACCGGAGAGGGCAGCAGAAAAGACCTTCACAAATCCAAAATGAGAACGCATCTAATTAGGCATCTGGGTTAGGAGCTTAGCTCGAGACTCCCTTAGCATAGCTTACATGTCTGACCTCCTCTACTATGACTCTCCTCCTTGCCCACTGGGCTTCCTCCACGCTAGCCTCCTGGTGCTCCTCTAACTTTCCAACCCACTCTTAATCTACCGCCTTCACAATGGCTGTTCCCTCTACCCGGACTACTCTTCCCTCAGGTCCCTTACAGCCTTCAAGCCTTTGCTCAAATGTTACCTGCAATGAGCAAAAAGAGGCCTCCTTCCTTCCATGGCACTTATCGCCTTCTAATATGGTATATAATTTACTTACGTATTTACTGTTTACGGTTTCTCCTCTCCCCTCAATTAAAGCAAGAGAGCAGAGATCTTTGTTTTTGTTCACTGCTGAACACCCCAATGCTCAGAACGTTGCCGGACACAGAGTAGGAGCTCAAAGTATATTTTCTGAATGAATGAATGAACTTCTTGGTAGTAAAATTCCAGGGGGAAACTACTTGAAGTATAGAGGAGGGCTAGAATGGGTGATGGTGAGAGAGTGAAATGAAAGGGGAAAGAAAAGACTGAGGGAAATAAAAAAGGGGACGGCAGGGCCTATCCCAGGTCCTCCGGACAGAGTCACTGATCCTCGCTACACTCCTGATGGATGGTGGGAATCGGTGCAGTGTCCCGCCGACGGCATCAAACAAGCAGGCAGCGAGACAGGCGAGCAACAGAATCACTGAGGAATTCCAAGGGAAGGGCAGACCCACCCTGGCTCTGGGCTCTGCACAGGCCCACCCTGGGATACCACCCAGCCCCTACCCCAGTCCAGCGGAGCCCAGACCCCAGTTCCTCTCCATAGCGGCCCGGGGCGTCCCAGGCCGCAGCACCTTCTCCGGCTCCGGCCCCTTCACCCGGTCGCCAGCGAACCGGGCCCTACGATCCGGCACCTGCCTGCCCGCGTCTGGGGTCCATACCCCAGCCCGCGGAAAGGCTCCGGAGCGCCCATGCGGACCTCACCCACCCGGCTCTCCTCCCACACGCCGGCAGGAAGCGCCCCATGGCCCTCTTGTGGCGAGGAAGGGGGTCCCGGCGTTTCTCAGCCCCGGCCCCCCCATCTCGTTGCGCTGCGCCCCCCTCACCTCAGGGCGCACGTACGACACGAAAGAGGGCTTGGGCGCCTTGGTGCCGCCGCCACCGCCAACGACTCCTTTACCCAGCATACCGCCTCCCTGGGAAGCAACGACCCGCGGAACCAGAGGCTGCGCTCGGGCTCCGGCAGCGGCGGTAGCCACCAGCACCAGCGGCCGGGGCTCCGCCCATCCCCAGGGCCGCGGCGGCTGCGGCGCCGCCCGTATCCGGCCCTGCCGCTGACACCGCTGGCCCCGCCCCGGCTCGCGGGCCCTGCCCACTCCTCATGCCCGCACACGCAACGGGGAGGTGGAGACCTTAGGCCACGCCCCCTCCCCTCCCTGCTTGAGCGATAAACTACTCCTGAGGCAAGGCCCACCCCTTTCCATTCTCTGATTGGCCAGAAGGCGCTCCTAGTCGAGTCCCACGCCAAGTGCTTTGTTGAATGAACCTAGAAAGATGTTTCCTCCGACCAATCCAGACAGCGTTCTCTCTGGCCTTCCCAGCGATTGGATAACGGAATGTCGCCTTCGTCCAATGAGCCAACGGTCACCAACTTGTCATGGGCAAGTAGTTCAAGGCAGTTGAGCTTTTACCTTCGCATGTTGTTTTGGTGTCAGACGCCCAAAAGTATGATGTATTGAACCTCTCGACTCATCAGTGACGTTCAAGTGTTATTACTTTAAATTTAAACCTAAAAACGAGGTAATCCAAGTGTTAATAGGCACTAAAGAATAGGTTTGAGTGCTGAGGGTAAAAGGTGTTTTAGGCTTCCATTTTCCCAAATATTTTTTGTTGAGTTTCTTTGTATGAAAAACCCTTAGGAAACTTCTTATCCACACTTCCAAGTTACCCGTGACGCCCCGATTTTCACTCAAGATTACAAAAAGAATACAGTTAAATTCAACATTTGGTGTACTAGACAAAGATAAATAAGACAGGACCCAGCTCTCAAGAAATTCATTCTAGAGGGAAAAACTAATAAAAACGTGCCATCAGTTTGCTAAGCGCGCTGCACTTGGCTAAGCAGTCGTCCCTTCAGTGACTTTGCCTTCTAATCTCTATGAGCCTCCTCCCTTCTCCCTTCCCCCAAACCACTCCAAATAAGCGTAAAATTTAAATGAAAACGAATGTTCTTGCTTTTGCAATTTCTAGGGCAGGCACTGTAGCTTCATTTCCAGCAGATTGCCATCGTCCAGGCTATCCGCTGGAACAGCCGTGCAGCTACCACTGAGTCTCACAACTCCCATTTGCAGGTGAGAAAACTGAGACTTCAAGATGCATGTAATTTGCCCAGGTCTTACAACAAGTCTCTATCAGAGCTGAAATTCTGACTCCAAAGCCCAGACTCCTGACAGTATTATATAGGTTTGGAGGGAGCACAATGAAGGAATGGTTAATTCTATTTAACTGTTTATTTGGGAAGACCAAGTAAGATTTCATGAGGGAAGATACTCTTCTTATGTAGGTATTTTGGTTACTTAGTGCTGCTCTGACAGAAAATACCACAAATGGGTGGCTTTAACAAACAGGTTTATTCTCTTACAGTTCTGGAGGCTAGAAGTCTGAGTTCAATGTGCCAGGCTCTAGGGCCCCTCAGCCTTGGGCTTCAGCTCTGCCTCTTGCTCCCAGCCCACCGGAGCTAAAGATTTTTCTTCACTCAGACAGCTGCCAGCTGCTGAGGCTCACAAACCCAAGGTCAACAAGTAAAAAGGCACAATCCCGATATTACCAAACCACAAGGCAGGCCATTGAGTCAAGTCCAGTAAGAGTCCCAAAATCGGCAGACAACATGGCAGGCTGATGAATAATGACTTGGCTGTATGCAGAATTCAAGCGTGCCACAAACTGCAGACCGTTCCCAAAGCTTCTCCTTATATACGGGAAGCAGACCACATCCCTAAACAGCTGCTCACGGCAGTTTCCACCACAGAGATGATTACCAGTCTCATCATGGGGATAAGTACATCCAGCTGCCCAGGTACTCAAAACTAGGCCCAGCCAAGTTGACACATAACTTGAACTATCACAGTAAGTGTTGAATAAAGTTGTCTGTCAGGACTAATACTATTACTTTCTATTTCTCAGCAGTTTATACTTGTCAAAATGGAAGGCCGCCAAAATTTTACAAACCAGAAAAAAAAAAAAAAAAAACTTGCTGCCATGAAGTCAATTCTGACTCATAGTGACCCCTCCTTTGGTCTTCCAGGCAGTATCTCTACGGAAGTAGATTGCCCAGTCTTCCTTCCAAGGAGTGGCTGGTGGGTTTGAACTGCCAGCCTTCTGGTTAGCAGTCAAATGCCTTAGGCACTATGCCACCAGAGCTCACAAATTTTACAGTGGGAGCTCATTTTTACTTTGTCACTTTTCAAATACTTCACAGTTCAGTGATCTTCCACGAGACTCAATATGTTAGCATGGGTAAAGGGGTGGGGGCCAAGCACAGGGCCCCACACTATGAAGGTCTTGGAGTTAAATGTTCTTAGGGAGCTCTGGTAGCACAGTGGCTAAGGCACTTGACTGCTCACCAGATGGCTGGCGGTTCAAACCCATCAGCCACTCCTCGGAAGGAAGGTTTGGCAATCCTACTTCCATAGTGATACTGCCTCGGAAACCCAAGGAGGGGTCGCTATGAGTCAGGGCTGACTCGACGGCACATAACAACAACACAACAACAAGTTGCTGTCTTGACATACTTCATTATTTCACACAAAAAGAATTTGTGCTTTGTAAGTGATGATTGGGCAATCTACTTCCGTAGTGATACTGCCTCAGCAACCCAAGAAGGGGTTGCTATGAGTCAGGTCCAACTCGATGGCACATAACAACAACAACAACAAGTGAAGTTTGATGGCACAATGGAGCATGCACAAGGAGCTTGGACTCTCCACTCAAGAGAAGTTTCACCTCCTACTACTTCCTAGCCTCCCCTACATATGTCCTCAGCTGACCCATCCTGGCATGTCATCCTAGCTAGCCTTTCCTACCCTACTCTCCATCCACCCCCACCCAATCATTGCCTCTACCTGCTACTGCTACTGGAGACAGCAACCAGCTCTCATTACTGAGACGGTGGAGCAGGGACGTTTTCCACCTTCAATGTCTCCACCTCCACAGATGCCTGGGCACTGGCTCTGGGAGATGAGGCTGGCGCACACAGGGTAGGGCAAAGTCATCTCTGCCTCAGGCTGGCAGAGGTCTGGCAACTGTGCAGGCCTCTCTCCCACTCTTATCCAGATGAATGGGGGCTGCAGCAAAGCTAAAATCCCTTGGGGTCACCCATCCACTGTGGGAAGGGAAGATTGACTTCCCTGCCCTGGGCCATGCCCTACATTTTCATTTTGCACTAGGCTCTGCAGATATGTGTCATTGCTATTGGTAGTTGCTGTATGGTTGATTTTCTATCCATCGAGACCCCATGCGACAAAGTAGAACTGCTCCATAGGGGTTTCTAGGTTGTAATGGTTATGGAAAGAGCTCTGGTGTAGTGGTTAAGGCATTTGGCTGCTAACTGAAAGGTCAGTGGTTTGAACCCATGAGCTGCTCCGTGGAAGAAAGACAGGGCAGTCTGCTTCTGTAAAGATTTACAGCCTTGGAAACCCAATGTGGTTGCTATGAGTCAGGATGGACTCGATGGAACTGAGTTTGTTTTTTGGTCTGGCCAATGAGTGCAGAAGCAGATTGTCAGATCTTTCTCCCTTGCAGTGGCTGGGGAGGTTAGAACCCCCAACCTTTTGCTTAGCTGCCCAGTTTACATAACACTAAACTACTTGCGGTCTAATCTATTCCCACTTAAAATGAACCTTTAGGACAGAGTAGAATTGTCCCATGGGGTTTTCAAGGCAGAAATCATTTTTTTAATGCATTTTATTGAAATATAATTTATGTACGGTGAAATACACAAAACTAAATTGACATGGGTCAATGCATTTTTTTTTTTTT